AAAGCGCCCCCAAGAACCCCTGGAGAAGGCTGGCCATTACCGCCCCAGCCGGCCGGAAGCCAGGAACGTGAAGAGCCGAAGAGAAGGAGCCCCGCGTCCATGCGGGTCAGGTTAGGCTGGTACTTTACGGCAGCAGCGGGGGACGGGGAGGGGGAAGCAGGGTTCAGGCGTGTACTTCCAACCTCCGTGCAAACAGGAGCGCTGGGGTGATCCGGTCTGCCTAGGAGGGGTCCTGCGGTGAAAGCCCTTAGGGAGGTGGCGGGGTCTTTGGCAGGCTGGCCTCGGCGAGTGCCTCTCAGGGGCACCGCGGGCCAGTTCCAGGATGGCTATTTTTCTCGTACTTGCACCCCCGGAAGCCCCAGTCAGCCTCCTGAGGGAAACGGTGCCCCGGGGTTCACACCGGCCATTCCGGTGCAGTGTTCTTACTGGTAAACGGCTTTGCTCAATTCCCACTGCTTGATCTGCGCAGTGATTTTAAAACACAAGCACATGTGTAGTAGGGGCTGCATGTGACACTCCAGAGCTGACAACCCGGGGCCTGCCTTCGCGCGAGAAGGAGAAGGCTCCGAAGGCCGCGGTGTGGGTGTCCTCTTGAGTGGGTATGACCTTCACCTTGGCCCCTCTCGCAGCCTGTGGGCACATGCCGCACACCCGCCTCCTCGGTTTACCTGCCACGTCCTGGACACATCGACGTCTGGGCTTGCACAGTGCCGAGCCGAGTGTGCAGATCTGCAGCCCGGACTTGCACGTCCCTAACGGCAGCTAGCAAACCCTCGCGTGACCCAGGACATGTGTTCCAGAGGGCAGCGCTCCTGGGGAGGGCAGATCAGGTAGACCGGGGTTTCCCCTGTGGGTTCTTCTTTGTTGTTCTGGTCTAAGTTTACTTATTTATCTCTACCATCAGAGAGACAAAGACACAGCAGGTCCCAACAGGGTCTTCACACCATGGACCACTCCCAGTTTCTGCTGGCCTGGGTCACAGGCCCCTCAGGGCCAGCGGGTTCAGGAAGACCTCAGGGCGCAGACCCGGGACTTCCCTGTGGCTTCAGCACACGGCGGGGCTCGAACCGCTGTGTCCCCATGGCTTGACTCCTCTCAGATGCTCTCACACATTTTAAGGTTACGAAGACAGTCAGCTGGCCTACAACCAGGCTTGGGCACAGACACCCCAGAATGGCATGTGGAGTTGGGGAGGTGCCTCAGGGAGCACTTCAGCTCCCACCTCCTCTCACCTTCGCAAACCTGGTCACCAGCCTGTAACTCTGTCCTCATTTCTCAGCTGGATGTGTGTGGGTGGGCGGCAGGGGCAGAAGTGACAAAGCAAGATGTGGAAGGCCACAAGCTTTGACTCCAGGCACCCCTAGGACCCACAGAGCAGCCCACCTACAGGTCAGGAGGGAGGGACAGGTTACCCGGAATATTTATACTAGAATGTTAGGGACAGACAAGCAGACACCCGACAGCAGCGGCCTCTGTAGGTGACTTGAGGTCCACCCACCTAGTGAGTTACTGGGGAACCAACTACAGGACTCAGTATGGGACAGCAACGACAAGACACCAGCTACCTACCCTGTCACAGTGACCCTCCATCTACGACAGGGCAGGGTCATAGCAACAGTGACACACGGTGACAGCTACATCTGGTAATGGCAACAGTTACCTGCCATGCAAGGCTGAATATGGGTTTAGAAGACATGCCTTTGAGTATGTTTTATGATTATAAAATTAAAACATGAGCATTGGGACCAGCAGGTGGCATAATGGTTACATTGCCAAACTCCCAGGTAGCTGAGTGCGGTTTGAGTCCCGGACACAGTGGCTTAAAACACATGGGGCCCATGCATGTGCATGCCCAAGATTCCGAGAGCAGAATGGAGGAGAATGGGTTGGTGTGGTCATCCCCCCTGGGGGCGATTTCTCACTTTTTCTCTCTCTGTCTCTGTCTCTCCAGCGATCACAAGTGCCCAATAGTAAAACCTCTTTCTCTTTCTCTTAAAAAAAAAAAAAAAAGAGCACTGAAGAAGATACATTTAATAAAGTAAAAGATCACAGGATAAAGCAATACAAGTCTGCGTGTGGTGCCGGTGTCGGCAATGCCTCTCTGACCTCTGCTAACCTGTCACCTATGCCGGGCAAGGGAGAGCCTTCTGCTGCCTCTTAGCCCTAACTCCCCAGAAACTCTGTTTCCATGTGTTTCTGCACGCTCCCTTTAGGAGTGCGGGTTAGCTGGCAGGCGTTTCCCCACTTATCTGCAGACGCGGAGGGCAGGTGCAACGGCACAGCAGTGGCCCGATGCTCCGTGATCCTCAAGTTATAGGCAGGTCCTGGGTTCGAGTCTCGGGGTCTCTCTGTACACGTGCCCATGATCACGGCTGGCTGAGGCTTGGGGTAGACTGCAGGGTGCGACCCTGTTGGAAAGGACTCTCCCCTCAGAGCAGGAGAAAGCGTCTTTCCCGGGGCCGCCAGGAGGGGGCAGCCCTTCCCGCACCCTGAACTTTTCCTAGGGAAACCCATTTTTACTTTGGACCTCTAGGATTCTACGATGATGAATTCATACTTTTTTTTTTTTTTTTTAAAGGTTTTGTTGTCGGGCACATGCGCTTCCTGGAGAGAGACAGAGTGAGGCAGTGAGAGGGAAGGTGAGAATGAACCCCCTGAGGGTGGCCACGCTTGAACCCCTTCACTGTTTTCCTTCTCAGATTTGGGGCACACGTATCCGGCATGAGTCTCAGGATGCCAGGTCTGGGACTCGAACTGCAGTCAGCCATGTGGGACCTCAGCGCCTTAACCGCTATGCCAGTCCCAACTGCCAGTCCCAATTTGTACTGTTTTACTTATTTCTTTTTTGTAGATATTTTAGGGTGAGTGTACTTGCTGAGAGATGGAGAGACAGAAAGCGAGAAATCACTCCCAGGAGGAAGGCCATGCCTCAATCCCTTCTCCATTCTCCTCTCAGGATTTTGGGCACACACGCACACACATCTGTGTGAGTTTTAAGCTGCCGGGTCCAGGACTCGATCCATGGTCAACTACATGGGAGTCCAGGAAGGTAACCATTACGCCATCTGCTGGCCCCAGCAACTTGCACTGTTTAAAGCCACAGAGTGCGTGGACGTCGGTCACAGCAGCCACAGGACACCCACTGACGCTCGTGCAATTCTGAATGCAGGAACAGGGTGCTGCAGCTGGGGACCCCCTTACAAGAGGCTCCCTCCTTGTCCCTTTGTCCACTGTAAAGCAGCATCTTCCCAAGTGCCGATGGTGGATCAGGGCCCCTGGGGACTGGCAAGCACTCAAAGAAACTTACAGCTCAGGCGTGTTGTATCGGACACAGCGACTAATGCATGCCCTAGCGGTGCACTTCCACGGGCGTGATGACCAAAAGCCAAGGTGAGTTCGTGACAACCAGAAGCTGGGCTCGGGGCATTCCCCGTGGTCACGGCTACTCGGGAGGCCGAGGCAGGAGGACCGCGGCCCAGCAGACCCTGTCTGAGACACGCTCCGTCACCATCTCCAAACCCCAAGCCAGAGCAACTGAGGGTTAATGTACGGAACTCCCTGGAGCGAGCAGCAGCCGCAGAGTCCGACCAGGCGGGAGTGGGCCGGCCCGGGGCGGGGGCTCTGCCGCTGCTGCGCGTTTTGAAGCTGATGGTGTCGCCTTCGGGCACTACGATCGGTCAATTTCTCCTCTGCCACGTAAGCCGGGGGACCAGGGGGGCCACACATGGAGCCGCGAAGGCCATGCACTGATGCAGACCGGCCGGTTTCTCTTTTGTTGGGCTGACTTAAATTAAATGAAAAAGCTGAACCCACGTGGCCATCAGGGCAGGTAGCAAGCAGCTGGGACTCCAGTGTCCTCTACCTGCTGCTGAGTCCTCGCGTCCCTCCCCTCCTGGGCACGGCTCCGGCAGACTCGAGCCAGTTCAGCGCCTCTCTGTGTGCGAGTGCGCCACCCTGTGGGTCAGCACCTTCCGTCCTTCCCTCCTGTCCATCCCCCAGACACTCCGAACGGCCGATGGACGGCCTCACACGCCGTGTTTGCCCTCTCTGCAAACACAACAGGCTCGAAGCAGAGTTTCTGAAAGGCTCAGAACACACTGGGCAGTCACTGGGACTCCCGGGACTTGAGAGACCCCTCCCTCCGACTTACTCTGGTTCTGAAGAGAGGAACTCTTTACCTCTGTCATTATTCATGAACACGTTCACCCTCGAAGGAAGGCCCGAGAAAACGGCCACGAGTAAATAACAGGCAGGGTGCGGGGCCGGGGCGGCCTCTACCACGCGCTGGGGCAACACTCTCAGTAAAGGCTGGCCCTCGGGGAGACCAGGGATTTAAACACAGACCCCCGGTGCGAGCGCTCCCAGCCATGATCACTCCCGACTGTCACCTCTGCTCTTCAAGTTCCCTCTGAAGACTAAATTCCTCCTTTGGTGCAAAACTGAGCACTGTGTAAGGAAGCCGGGTCTGATCACCTGGGGGCAGAGCCCAGGGACTGCACCTGCCCCGGCGGGCACAGGTGGCACCTTCACCTCCAAGCCCACTCTGATCTTAGCATTCGCGCTGCTCACCCGCCCTGGGTGGCCGGATGGTCATGGCGAGCCCCCAAGCTGCAGGCCCTGGAGCCACAGCTCTGTGAAGCTGCAGTCCGTGTGTACCTCAGCCAGGCCTCTCCCGTGCATCTCAGCAGGCCTCTCCCGCAGCACTGGGCCACGGCGCGGGGACTCGCAGGCGGCGAGGGAGGTGCACTTACCTGTTGCGTGGGCCGGGCCCCAGGCGCTGACACACCACGGTGGCGGTGGCGTGCTTCCCGCCGCTGCCCACCTCCTGCTGGACGTCCCACTGCCGAGGCTCGCTGGTCTGAGCGCTCAGGATGTTCACCCCCTTCTTCACCTTGGCCCTGTGGGAGGACAGGGCAAGAGAGAGCCATGGGGTTAGCCTGGGCCTTCCCGAACGCGCCCGAGTCCCCCAGCCTGGTGACTGGTTTTGCTTTTCTCCTTTTTCACATCTGGTGACATGGCAGAGTGCACCAGAGGGTGGCTATACTGGGGGGGGGGAAGAGGTCTGACCACAGACCACAGGCCATGGAGTTCTGTCCACTTCTGAGGGGCAGGGCCCCTGGATGTTCACTGAGCAAGGGGTGGGAAGCCAAGTGTCGGGGTGCACGGTCAGCCTGGGTGCGCTGTTCTCAGCTGGTACCTGTGTCTTACAGGGCGAGGTCTGGAGGACCGAAGCGCGCCAAGCCACACGACTGACTGACGCGTCGAGCACGGGCACACGAATGTGGCTCCTGCAATCCTCCAAGAAAAGAAAGGCCAAACCGGAGCATGGATTCAGAATCCACAACCATGCTGGGAACCCAAAACAATGCAGACATCCTGAGTACTTTGAGGATTATTTAGAACTCTATCCAGTCTAACTATGAAGCCAATGTTTCCCAACGTGTGAGTCTTCCGAAAATTTACTTCCTACACCCCAACTGGAAGAACTGCTTCAGGGTGGGCTCAAGGCAGGAGGACAGCCACATGGATGAGGGACACTGGGATGGCCAGGTGGACAAGGGACACCAGGCGCCACACCGGACAGCCACGTGGGTGAGGACACTGGGTGCCACGCCAGGATAGCCACGTGGATGAAGACACTGGGTGCCACACCGGACAGCCACGTGGATGAGCGACACCAGGTGCCACACTGACAGCCACGTGGATAAGGGACACTGGGCGCCACACTGGGATAGCCATGTGGACAAGGGACACTGGGTGCCACACCAGGATAGCCACGTGGACAAGGGACACTGGGTGCCACACCAGGATAGCCACATGGACAGGGGACACTGGGTGTCACACCAGGATAGCCACGTGGACGAGGGACACTGGGTGCCAGACCAGGATCACCACGTGGACGAGGGACACTGGGTGCCACACTGGGACAGTCATGTGGATGAGGACACTGGGTGCCACACCAGGATAGCCACATGGACGAGGGACACCGGGTGCCACACTGGGACAGTGTGGGCCCAGGTCGAAGCGGAGATAGGACCCGAGACAGCAAAGGTCCTCAGGCTGGGAGAAGGTTTTAGCAACAGCTTTTCCAGGAAGTGGAACTTGTCTCACCAATGTGATGTGCGTGAACGTTTGTGAGGGGATTTGGACAACCAGTGGAAGGTGTGGGGAAAGAAAAGAGCTGAGTACACAGAAAATAAGTAGGATAACCCGAATCCATCTTTGGTTCTGATCATAAGAAATCCCATGCAGAAAGGGCAAGTCTCCAGAGCTGGGTGCTTGGCGTTCTGCGATTACACACGAAGCAGGGGCTTTAAACACTGAGTATTAACCCAGACCAAGTGTGACCGCCACGTGGGAGGGCGGGAGGGCACTTGCGGAGGAGGACACGGAGCTGCGTCCTCCCCAGAGCGGAAACTCGGTTTTGCCTAAACTCAGAGGAAACGAAGACGTGGGAACCCCAGCACGTCGCGAAGTGATGCGAACACCGGAGGGAAGACTTTGCCTCTGTGCAGACCGTGATAGGCAGCAGGGCAGGGCAGCGTTATTTTAAATAACTTCTTACTTTGAAATATTGGGGTTGTCAGAAAAGTCATGACACATTTTCCCATTTTTCTATGCAAACACATCATGACTTTTCCATTGACTCAGGAATTGAACAATTTGAGATGAACAAGACATTTTTTAAAAAATGTTCCTGGGTTCAGGAACAGAGTGCCTGGGTATGTGTCACATGGTTTCCCCAGTGGTAAATGACACCTGGCCGTGGCTTGTTGTCCCCATCAGGAAATCGCATAATGCGATTAAGTCTAACTTACTTAGACCTCGCCTGTTTCACTTGACCTGCTCCTCTGGGGTGGCATGGATCTCTGGAACTCTATCACGGTGTGGACTTGAGTCACTGCCGCTGGACTCGAGGTACGGAGGCGTTACTGCCACGGAGGGGCTCCTCTGTGACCCCTTGCTAATCGCTGCTCCCACCCAGCCCCGGGGAGGAGCCATCTGCCCTCCCCCTTCCCCCATCCCCGCCCTGCCACTCTCAGGTGCCACCAGCGGTTTTGCCAACCAACTCTGCAGAACGATTCGATGACTTAAATTACATGCAAGGAGCCTCGTGAATAGTTAAAAGCTAGACATGGCTGAGAACTGACTACCAGGCGGTGGCCATGAGGGAACCGAGGGGCGGGAGGTGGTGATAAACCGTATCTCCACCTGCCAAACTGAGGGCATCCAAACCAGCACCAGCCCCGACAGCAAGGGCGTATCAGCTGCTGCAGCTGGCTCTCCTCAGAAACTTCCACCGAAGCGTCTTCCATTAAAATGATTTACTAAACACACTTGGTACCCAGCATGCAAGGAGACCAGGGCGTGCTGGGACAAAGATTAAAGACACCTTAGCATGCAAAAGCTCCCATTGTCCCCAGGGCAGGAAAGCAACGCCTCAGTTGTCTTCGCAGCAGGAACACTGCCTACCTCTGCAGCCAGAAATAAATCCTCCTGCAAGGTGACTTTGCTCGAAATGGGCTTTTGCTGCACTTGGATTTTGCTCAAGATTCCAGGTTTTACTGAAGCTACACATTGTTCTTTCCACTTAGTGGCCGGCGCACTCTGGAGGCCTCTTAGTGACCCCCTGCGAGGTGGCCGGTTTCCTCTGCTTGCGGGGGGGGGGGGGCACAGAAGGGTGAGTTGCTGAGACAGGAGAAGGCGTAAGGCTTAAAGGCTGCCTTTGTGTTTCGGGTGCTTTGTGGGCGAGAGTCGTGGGTGCTCCCGGCTGCTCTGAGGAGCCAGCTGGTGCAGGAGTTTGGGCCACGGGACTGGAAGTGTGACAACCAGAGTCGGCATTCGAAGAGCCATGGGACTGGCTGGGAGCTGAGGAAGCCTGGATCCGGGAAGGAGCCGAGGTCGGGCAGTCTTCTCGGCTTGGCTGGGTGGAGGGTAGCACACGGACCACGGCAGGAGCCCAGCTCCAGCCCTGCCTGGGGGAGCCACACGGGTGCCCCTCTCATTACCTGGGGTACACAGGGAGCCGTAGCTCGGTGGGCCCGATGTGTGGGGCTGTCGGTGCTGGAAACCAGGGAGGTGATTTGGGCTCACTGGCTGGAGCTGAACAGCAGCCGCGTGGCGTTTGCCACCACCAGGCGGCGTTGATCACCAGCTGCCCGCCCTGCTGGGTTCCGGAGTGCGGCAACACAGGGTTTGGGGTGGACCTGGCAGCCCTTCAGACCTGCTGGGCACATGGAGGGAGGCCCCTGCCGCGTATTCATGCTGAACCCCCACTCCGCTCTCAGCGGCTAACACGGCGTGCCTGAGCAGGTGGGACACGGGTGACGAAGCGGGCGCTGAGGAGCATCAACGTTTGGTGCTCGTTTTGCACAAAGGACGCCTCTTTTCCGCCCTGCACGCTGCCCAGCTCAGGGGCTGCTGTGACCGTTCTCTTCTAAGCTCCTCAGAGCTGCAGGGCTGAGCGGGTACCCGCGTGATGGGGCAGGTGTTGCGGGGCCTTAGACGACATTTGGTCTCTGACCCCTGGAGTCCTGTCTGCTCAGGAGCTGAGTCTGGCCTTCAGAGAGCGTGAAAGGAAAATGAGGATTCCAAGTTGTTATGGGTGGGACCCCGCACGCCCTTTCCCCAAGCCGTGGTTGAATTCCAGCCCTCCCTCAGCACCTCCGACGTGACCTGCGGGAGACGGTCTTCACTGAGCTAAGTCACAGCGAGGTCGCTCGGGGCCTCATCCAGTGTGACTGGCGTCCTTAGAAAGGCAAGCTTCGGAGACACACGCCACACGGGGATGCCGTGTGGCCTCAGCCTGGGCCCGGGACAGTCTCTCCGACAGTCCCCACTGACAGCTTACTTGGGGTGCCTGGCCCTCAGGACCGGGAGAGTCGGGTTCTGTGAAGACACCCATCCTGTGATACGGTTACGGTGGCTCCAGGATGGGGGCAGCTGCCGGGGCTCGGGTGGGGGCCGGCCATCCCCGCACAGGGCGCTCGGCCCGCCCGGCG